AACAGATATTTGAAAATCAAATTAATATAAAATAATATATTATTATTAGGTTGATAAAAGTTGGGCAGCAATATTGCAGCAAAAAGTAAGGTCAAAGAAAAAGGAGAGGAAGGAAAGTATGGAGATAGATAAATGAGGAAACAGGTAATGAGGTGAAGAAAGACGGCAATAAAATGGAAGGCGTAATGGGAAAATTAGGGGAGCTTGTGAAGACGCTGATGGAAGTGGGGGAAGAGACAAACAAAAGAATGGAGAGATTAAGCAAAGAATTGAATGATAGTAGGAACGAAAATAGAGTAGGGGAAAAAATAAGGGATGAGAAGTTAGAGCGTTTGAGTAAAGAAGCGAAGAAAAGCAGAGAGGAAAACAGGGAGAGGGATAATGTAAGGAATTAGAAGATGAAGGAAATTAAAGAGGAGATAGGGGGTATAAGGGATATGTGGGAAGATTGGAAAAATGAATGGAAAAGAGAGAAAGAGGAGATGATGGGACGATTGGCGGAACTGGAAATGAAACAGTGTGTGAGAGAAAAAGAGAAAAAAGAGGATATGATAAAGATAGAGAAGAGGCTAGAGTATCTGGAGTCGGGAGGTGTAGAGGAAGGCATAAAGCAGAAGAGAGAGGGGACAAATGGAAAAGGGTTGGAAGCAAAGGTTAGAGAACTATCCAGGCAGGTGAAGCAATTGGAGAGGGAGAAGAGAAAATGTGAGAATGTGATAAGGGGGTTAAAAGTAAAAAGAGAGGAAAGAAAAGCAGAAATAGAAAAATTATTGCAGAATATCGGGACAAGGGTAAATATTAAAGTATCAAGGGAATAGAAGAGGAAGGCAAAGATATACCAAAGGTGTGGTTGGTGCAGTTGAGGAGCGCAGAGGAGAGAAAAGAAGTAATGTTGAACAAGTTGACGTTGAAAAGGAAGACAGGAGAGGATTGATGAGGACAAGACTAGGATAGAGAGGAAAAACGAGTAGTTTTTGAGAGATAAAGCATGAGAGGAAAGAAGAAAGGGTAAGGTGGTGAATGTAGGTAGGGAGTGTATATGAGTTGAGGGAGTTAGGTTGACGGTGGAGGATATAAAGGCAGGTGCGGAAAGTAAGGAAAAATTGGGGTTTGGAGGAACAGCAGAGAGAAAAGATGAGAAAGGATCAACGAAAGGATAAAAGTGGGTTTTTGGAACATTGGAGGATGGAAGCATAAGGATAAAGGATTTTGGAAGGTATTAAGGGGGTGGGATGCGGTTTTTTTTATTGGAGACATGGGCAAATAAAAAGAAGTCGGAAATATTGAGAAGAAGACTGCCAAAGGATCATAGATGGAGTATACGAGGGGCAACGAGAGGGTTTTCAAAAGGGAGAAGTGCGGGAGGAATGATTTCAAGGGTGAGGATCGGGATTAAAGAGGGTAAAGGGGCGGGGTATGAAGGAGAAGGAGGGTGTATGATAAGGTCCATAAAAGTAGGGTGAGACAGCTGGACATGGTAGGAATTTACAGAAGAAGAGGGGAAGACGGGGAATGGAAAAACTTGGAGAAGATTATGGGTTGTAGCAAGAATAGGATGGTTTTAATAGGGGGGGATTTAAATGCATGGACTGGGGAATTAGAAGGAGGAGTGTGGAATGAAGAAAAGAACAAATATGAGAGGAGGTCCAGACACAAGGAGGTGGATAGCGAGGGTAAAAGATTGGTGGAGTTGGTTCAGGAATGTGGATGGACGATTTGTAACGGCAATATGAAGGGAGATGAAGAGGGAGAATTTACGTTTATGGGGAGGGGGATGCTGTTATTGATAATGTGTTGGCAGAGGAGAAGGTTAAAGAAAAAATAATTAGGATGAAGGTAGGAAACGAGATTGGATCAGATCACTTTCCGGTGACGGTGGAGATAGGGAGAGAATGGTATAAAAGGAATGAAAGAAGGAAGAAAGAGAAGAAGGAAGAGAAAATGCTAATGGGAAAATGGAGCATAGTAAAACTGAAGGAGTTTGAGAATTGCCTACAGAAGGAATGGATAGAAGGAAAGGAGGAGCAAAATGTCAACGAGAGGATAGATACGGTAAGAAAGAATATCGAAAAGTTGAAGAAGGAAATAGGATAAGAAGGGGAGAGGGAAGAAAAAAGAAAAGGGTAGTGGAATGAGGATTGCGCGACAAGCAGGAATAGGATGAAGGTGTATATCAAAGACTGGAGCAAAGGAAAAATTGATAGGAAAGAGTATATGAGGATACAGAGGGAACATAGGAAACTGATAGAGCAGACGAAAGAGGAGGACAGAAGAAAATTCATGGAAGAGGTGGAAAAAGCGGTCAGAGAGAGAAGAGAGTGGGACGTTATAAATAAGGAAAGGAAAAGAAGAGAAATGTTGAACAGAAGTATTAGTATGAGAGAATAGACGAGATATTTTGAGGGGTTAAGTGGGGGGTAAACAGTAGAGTTGTGGGAGAGAGAAGGAAGGTGATAAAAGAGGATGGGGTAGCAGAGATAAGTATGGAGGAGGTGGAAGAAGCAATAGGGAGATTAAAAAGGAACAAGGCAGCTGGTAATGACGGAATTAAAGCGGAGAGTGTAAGGTACGGGGGAGGTGGTAAAGAGGGAAATTTGGAATATTGTCAACAAGGTGTGGAAGGCTGAGGGGTAGCCAGAAAAATGGAAGTTGGGATTAATAGTGCCGTTGGTAAAAAAAAGGGAAAGGGAAGAAAGTGGAAGATTATAGGGAAATAACTTTGATGCCGGTGGGCTATAAAATTTACGGGGAAATTTTAAGAAATAGGCTAGAAGCAAACATAGAGAGGGCGGGGGGGATTCCTCATAATCAGGCGGGTTTTAGAAAAGGGATGGGAACGAGGGACCATATTTGCACCTTAAATTATCTGGTAAATAGAAATTTGAAAGGGGAAAAAGGGAAGTTATTAGGGTTATTTGTTGATTTTAAAGAGGCGTTCACATCGGTTAATAGGGAGGTATTGTGAAAAACATTAAAGGAGAGGGGCATAGAGGGGGGACTAATAGAAAGGGTGAAAGAATTATATACAGATGTTAAAGCAAGGGTGAGGATTGGAGAAGTAGGGGAGGTTTTCTGGATGGGAAGAAGATTGCTACAAGGATGCCCGCTGAGTCCATTATTATTTAGTTTATTGATGGCAGATTTAGAAGAGAGATTGAAGAAGAGAGGAAAAGGAGGAATAGTGTTGGGTACAAGACGAATGTTTTCTTTAGCGTATGCGGATAATGTGTTGTTGGCAGTGAGTGAAAGTGGGATGAGATTGTAGATGAATGAATTTGAGTGTTATGTGAGAGTAAAAGATTTGTGGGTAAATGTAGAGAAAACGAAAATGGTGAGATTCAGGAATAAAAAGAGTGGGTTGGCGGATGTATTGAGGCTGAATGGTAGAGAGGTAGAAGAAGTGAATAAATTTTACTATTTAGGTTTTTGGTTTGGATGTAATGGAGCACATGATTTGCATGTGAGTAGTAGGGTAGAAAGAGCTGGAAGGATAATGGGTCAAGTATGGAGAATAGGACTCTGCGGTGTAGGAGATATGTTGAGGAGAGAGAGACCAGAGGAGACCGAGATAAATCGAAGTGGGAAAAGGCAAGGGAATGGGCCATTAAGGAGGGAAACAATTACGATAAAGGGTGGTACGGGTTGGAAGGAGAAGGACAGAAGGGAAAGATGGGCAAAAATATAGGAGTCACGATACAACCGATGGTACAAGATGGTAAAAGGAGTAGGGGTACCAAAGTATGAGAGAGACAAAATGGCAAAGGATGGTGAGATTTCGAATGGAAGAGGGAATGAGGGAATGCAGGTACTGGATGGAAAGGGAAGAGAGATTGTGCAGAGTATGCAGGTATGAAGTAGAGGATTGGGACAAACGCGACAAACCGAATTTTTTGTTAATTCTTCTGAAAACTACATCCAGCGCAGTTGAATCGTTGCCTGGGCCCATAACCTGTTGGCATGCAGATTATTTAGAGCAGGATGTAGTCAATAATAATACACAATAACGGCTAAAAATAGTCGTTTATTAAGAGCACGAAGACGTTCAAGACGGTCACGGTCGAAGAAAAATCAAGAAGGGAAGAAGGAGTGCCTGCGCACATGGTAGTGACGTAGGAGCAACTACTGTTAGAGTCAAGTGAGATATTAGGCGCAAATATACAGTATTTCAACAGTTACAAATATAAAATAATTATTTAATTATTAATTAACCAAACATCATTGATACCTGTAGTGTATGTATGTGTCGTTGATAGTTTAGGCCCCTAATTTCTCGCAACACAGCTTATGTGTCGCTGACAGTAAAGGGGTTAAAAGAGTGCATTTTAATTCGATCGGAATTTGTTTTAAAAAACTAATTTTAAATAACACCCTTATTAACATGTTACTAATTGAAAATATTATATGCGAATATAATTTTTAAATTTAGTTTTTTTAAGTAAATTTCAAAAAAATTAAAATACACCGAAGAAGCACGGAATATTGCTTGACTGCCACGGTGATATCAAGCGGGAATATTCCTGTGGCATTCAGGCAATATCAAAATGCTTTACGGGGATAGTTCACAGTGATATTCCTGTCGCATTCGTATGATACTTAGAGAATATTCCTATGACATTAGTGTGATATTAAGGGGATATCCCTATGATATTGAGGGAATATTCCTGTGATATTAGTAGGATAATTTATAAAATTTTTAGATTTTTAAGTTTCGAATATCTATTTAAATAGGCTAAGTTAAAGTTAAATAGCTGATGTCATAGAAATATCCCTGTGAAGTGGACATTTTGATATCGCCTGAATGTCAAAGGAATATTCGCGCTTGATATCACCATGACATTCAAGCAATATTCTTTGCTACTTGGGTAAGCATATGCGATAAATGAAAAATTACGCATAAAAAATGACAAAATTGCAAATATTTCATTTACATGAACCGCTATGATTTTGCCAACTATTATTTAAAACGGTAAATAAAAATTATACTTTTCAATTTGTTTTAGAAAGCTGATTTTGCTATCTGTGACTTGACAATTACTTTCGATCGAAAAAAAGCTGTGGATTTTACCATGCCTTTTATGACACTTGGTAAGTATATTTAAATAACTATAGAAGTTTAAGTAATTTAAGATATTGTATATGCACATATTCATATGAGTCATTCTCTGAAAAAGCCATTCCAAAAAAAGTTAGAAGATTGGTTTGATTATATCTAGAGATCTTTAAAATTTATTTTTATTAGAGTCAGATCAATTGTTTTTTGTTTAATTTTTGCGGTTATATCGACTGCAAAAATACGATCCGAAATACGGTCGACGACCATGTGTGGTCCCGAATAAGGATGTTCGAGCGATCTTCTCGTCTTTCCAACGCGAATAAATCGTCGGGAAAAAGTGAGGCAAACATCCGGGATTCGAATTTGCTTCCCTCGTCAGTGGTGACTGTCTCATGCGAACCATAACGAGCTTTCCAAACGTCTGCAAATGCCTTGCAAATCAATGATGCCTCAATATTCGTGAGTGGAATAGCTTCCGGCCATTTAAAAAAGCAATCTTGCAATAGTTCGCTATATCTTTATGTATAGAAAGCCAGACATAACGATTTCTCAAAGTACGATCTATCACGCGGCCGCGAGGATGAGATAGAGAGTGGAAAAGCCTCATGAGCTTGTCACAATAGCCAGCAACATTTTCTGGTCCCCAAAATAACTTCTTTAAGCGAATTTACCTATCAGTGGATTGAATTGCCTTCTTTAAATCATCATCATCAGATTGCGCGGAGAGAACTCCTTTATATTAATCTCGGAATGTAAAACAGCAGATTCAATACGTAACAACGCGTCCGCACTGACACAATGACGCGTACACCAATGATTTATGATCGGTAAGTATACGATATTCGCTACCTTGAACAAAATGTCAGCAATGACGAATTGCCTCATAAATAGCTGCATGTTTGCAATCGTAAATGCTGTAAGATTGTTGGGAAGGAGAGAGTTTTTGCGAGAAAAAGGCCAAGGGCTCTCAAATGGTAGAATCCGAGTTCCTCTGTTCAAGAGTGGCACCGATCCCTAAATCGCAAGTATCAGTGACAAGCTGATCTATTAGCAGCTTGGACAAGAAGAGTAGCATTTGCCAGTTCACTCTTAATGTGTTCAAAAGCCGTGACATCCTCGGGGGTCCAATCAATTACACAGCCCTGCAAATTTGGACTTTTTTTGTGCAAATAAGATGGCTCCAGATGTTTCCAAAGGCATTTTGCGCGCTGAACACGAATCTAGGTTCAAAAACTTTCTATCACGTCAGGTTTTCGAGAAAAAGGGGGTCGAAACCCATAAAAATAGCGTTTTTGGACATTTTTGAAAAATTGTAGAGATAAACACTGACGTGCTAGAACCATCGCTATTGTCAGAAATTAACAATTGATCTTTACTCTTTAAAATAAGCCTAAAGCCAAATTGATTGCATGCACCCTTAAAGCAGGGGGTGGATTTATGTCAAGGGGTGCAAGAGAAAAAGAAACACATTACGGAGGTCCTTAAAAATTAATCAGATTTACTTGAAAATGTTTACTCAGGGGTTTTTGGGGTCGCTGATTACAGATCTTCATTCAGATTTAAAAAATTCAAAATGCCGGATACAATATATGGGCTCATTTTAAAGAGCAAAGATCAATTGTCAATTTCTGACAATAGCGATGGTTCTTGCACATCAGTGTTTCGCTCTACAATTTTTCAAAAATGGCCAAAAACGCTATTTTTAGGGTTTTCGACCCCTTTTTCTCAAAAACCTGACGTGATGGAAAGTTTTTGAATCCAGATTCGTGTTCAGCGCGCAAAATGCCTTCGGAAACACCTGGAGCCATCTTATTTGCAAAACCCATGCAGGGCAGTGTTATTGTTTTGTCGTTCTTTTTTGAGTTCGAAAGATTGCGATGGAGATGTTTTAAAATTTGAGCAGCATGGCGGAAATCAAACGACGCAAATCATGAACAGTCTGAGAGCAAGGATAAAATATTATTGAAGTTACTCTTTCGGAAGTTGGTAAAATACACCGTGGGTTTATAAGATGACCAAGAAATTTCAACTCGTGTCTGCCGAACTGACACTTGTCAACATTTATACGAAGGCCAAATTGCTTCAATCGCTCAAACACTATATCGAGATGCTTCTCATGTTTCGCTTCATTTACGCGGATGCAATGAGAACATCATCAATATAGTGACGTATTTTATGTGCTATTAGGAAAACTGTAAATAATTTATAAAAGAGAGCGAAAAATTTTGGTTGTGTTTGTTTTGTCGGTATCGGTCGTTTTAGAACTTAATATAATAAGAAGTGTTACGTAATGCAAAACAAATAAATTTTTAATATCCAATAATAAATAATTAATAAATAGAAATTATTAAAAAAATTTCCATTATTATCACCATTATTTAAAATTTAATTAATCAATTTTGAGCCTGGATTCTCATCCAATTGCTCAAGATTAATGTTGGGGAAAAATAGAGAAAAAGGGGTAATTTCTTGAAGGCGGAGAAAAAATCTTGGAAGAAGGAAAATTTGCCATAGGCGTGAAAAAAGGGGGTTGAGAAAATTTGATATTGGATCTTTTTAAAAGAAAAATGGAGAAATTCAGAAAAAAATGGTGAAAACTCATTAAGAGTTTATTTCTATTGGGCCTTACTGACCCAGTCTACTCAGGTAGGTTAAAACTATGGGTTGGCCCTTACGGGCGAAAACTCAAAAAAATGGTAGGAAGGAATTATCTTGAAAGAAGAGGGGTTTTTGCAATAAGTGGAGTTTATACTTGAGGAAGAAGAAATATTTACAATTTTACATCTTTTTACAATATAACTAATTTTTGTTATAAACAATGATGAATTTTTATTATAATTTGTTGTAAAAATTATTATTTCACTCATTTTACAATGTAGTTTTTGATTTATCAAAATAGGATAATTATTAGCGAAGTTATAAATTTTTAGGTTAATTTATTTATAATTTTCGTAATTATTATTAATTTTTATTAGTTACTTCTTTTTATTATAACTTTCATTAAAATTAGTGAATTAAACGTTATTTAATTATAATTTTTGAAATTTATTTATTATTATATAAAAATATTAAAATTCCTATTTATTATTTATCAAATTATTTAATTAACAACTGGTTAATTAATTTTATTTAAAAAAACTATTAATTTAAAATGTTATTTATAATAAAGTTTATTTTTATAATACATTCATTCTTTACACTATATGTGTAATATGAATATTGAATCCCCTTATTTTACCGAAGTTTCACATATCCCAATTTTGTTAGATAGAATCCTAGACATTAGGCCTAACATTCTTTTTCAAATAAGTGAATTTAAAAAAATCGCGGCTTATGGAGTTTTTGGGGTAGAATATTAGAAATTCGAAGCTAATTTTCGAATTAGGCCTAGAACCCAATGTAAGATTCCTTAGTCCAATATTTTGGTCATATACTTCACACGTTAAAACACATAATTTCATAGGGATTACGAATTTGATTCTGAAAATTAAAGGATTTTATTTAACAAAAACAACCAATGTTTTGGGTTTACAAATGTAGATCTTTTTGTTAAGAACAACGTTTGTCTTGAACATTTTTTATAAAAATTCATACTTTTCGAGATATTTAGAAGTTTCCATACTTTTTGAGCAAAACACATTCTGCGTGCTAGCGCTAGAGACACGCAGCGTCGCACAAAAAACGCGATAACTTTTTTTAAAACGGTTTTGAATCCTTATGAAATTCCCTTTCCAATAAACTTTGGATCAACTTTCTACGACAACGAGAACATGGTTTAGTTTTTAAATAAACAATTAATTTTGCTATAACAATTATTAAAAACATCGGACAAGTGCGAGTTACACTCGCATTAAAACCGAGGGTTCCGTATCCCTTAAACCTAAAATTTGAGGGGTTTAAAGTTTGAAGGCCTAGATAGAAAACATAGACATATTCATAGACATAAACATAGAACATAATCTACGCATAAATTTAAAAATAATGTGAGCGCATAGATTTGAAAATAAATTAATAAAACTAAAAAATAATAAAAATATCAAAAAATAAAAAATGTCAAAAGATAATAAAAATAGTAAATGGTAAAAAATAGAAAATGGCAAATTATAAAGAATGGCAAAACACTACAAAAAAATATAGCAAGCACAATTGGAGTTGAAAAAAAATCAAGAATTTGCCCCAAAAAAAGGAAGAAAATTTTATTTTTTTAGGTCAAAAATTGTAAAACTTAAGGAAAAAGTTCACTTTTTAAAAAAATTGTATGTTTTGAAAAAACTCAATTAAAAAATTTTTTTGGTGAAAAATCATGATTTTTATCGAAAATTATCAGTTTTTCCTTGAAAACGCTGTAATAATCAACTTCAATCGTTCTCGCTATATTTTTTTTGTAATCTACACGCAAAATTACGTAAAAGTGTATACACTGCGACCTGAGTTTAGCGGCAGGTTTGGTGGGTCGTTCGCTAAACTCAGTAATGAGATTTCCCGAAATCGGAGTCAGCAATCAGGGCCGTACGAACTACTTAAAATACGAAATCCTTAAACTCTTTTTTTGAAAATTCTTCATCTTATAATACATAATATTTTTATTGCAATAATTATTTTAATTATATTTTAATTTTTAGATTTTATTATAATTATAAACAGTAATAAGTAATACTTCAAATTACTTTTAATAAAAATTCAAATAATTGTACTGACATCAGACAAGAAAGGGGAAAAACTCACCATTTGCCTTATATATTTTAAATTTATTTGAAATTAAATAATATAAATTTCATCAAATATAACATTGAGAGCAAATATTAAAATTAAGATTTTCATAAAGTAAATTTATAAATTTGCTGGGAGTGAAAACAAAAATAAAATTTGTATACATGAATATAAATAAGCTTTTATAATTTAACAAATTTTTTATTTAAAATTAAAGATTAAAGAACCTTGTACCTCCCAGACAAACGTCTCCGCTTGGTACTCATTTTCAACTAGAAGGAACCGCGTTGCCTTACTTCTACGCTCCTGCTCGAGTCGGAGC